GTTTGAGTGCATGTTTATGGTGGCGAGACACAAGGTGGGACTTCGTGATGCAATTTGAGAGAGGCGACAGTGAAGGGCACCTACAACTTGAATCTGGACTTCAGGGAAGACGAGGAGTAACTTTAGGGCTCCCCTCAAGTAGGCGAGCTTGAGGGTGGCAGCCATATCTGCACCTACGGACTGCAAGTTGCTGCTTTGATCTTCAACATCGACGGGGGATCCGGCTTTGTACTTTGAGGTAGATGTTGACCCTCCTAGATGATAGGACACTAGTGTAGAGGATGCTAATTGGGTCAGGAGGACTATGTGAGAGGGGGGTGAGTTCTTTTCATCCCAAGAGCCCGGCCACTCAGGTAAGTGTCGTGCCACCAGGGTGCCCATGTGTGTGTGCATGGAATTGACTACCTGTTGGGGTTCTCTGGGTTCTTCTTCCATCCTCCATAGTCTTGATTGTGTGTGAGGTGTGTGAACTGCCTACTCGCCTGATGAGTGAATGAATGGAGTATCTTGTTTGCCATGTGATATCTTTCTACAGTGCTTTGTTTATTTCATTCTGAACGGCAGTAGTCTACAGGTTCTTTCTAGGGCAAAGTTTCGTTTTTCAATTCAAGTAGGGACAGAGTAGGTCTCCGTGGAACTCTTGTTGGTTGGGACCCGGTTCTGACTCCACTGGGACCATTTGGGACTTAGTGGGACCGGGCCCAAACAAGAAGGGCCCCTTAGGCCAAATCTGTTGACGTCAGTTACCTTGCTCTATCTGATTGGGATACGGACTTAATGCTTTCGGACCAGGACACTCGCTGCGGAGGGGATCTCCGTTGGGACGTTTTATCAGACTTTACTGCACGATCTGCCGCCTGACTCGCACCTTATACACCACTCAATTCTCTCTTGCATTTCGCTGTACATCTTGAATCTGATTTGTTGTGTTTTCACGAAGCTGAGGCTGGCTAGGCTTGGGAGGACCCCATACGTAGTCAGTCCAGACTGTGTGGCTGGATCAGATCTCTCTGATCTTTTCTTTTTTTGCTGTTTTGATTGCTCTCCAGTCCAAATGAATTGCCGCTCTGGCTAGGAGTTCTACCTTCTCTTCTGAATGATTTCAAGCTGTTTCTTTCATTGGGTTCTTTAATGTCTGCGTCTACACGATCGCAAACGAGAGAGAGAGAGAGAAGAGAGAAGCTTCTGAGTGTTGCTCTTGAGGGAGTGAGGAGAGGGAAGAGGAGTGTTCGTCCCAGGCAAGTGAGGAAGTACGGACCCCTCTTGAGAGACTTATTGACACCCTCATCCTCCATCATGGCATCTGCAGCGGAATGGAAGCTGCAAATGGACGCTGCCCCTGAGGCAGAGAAAGCGCAGTACCGGTTCTTCTATGAGAAAGCATTGAAGAGGGAGGAGGAAGAGAAAGA